CACACACACACACACACACACACACACACACACACACACAAGAAGAATGTTAAGTGTTTATGTTTGAGTATATGTAGTTTGTAGGAAACAAGGCTATACCTTTTCTCTGAGTTCCTGGTTCACCCTGAGAAGATTTTGCTTTTCCTCCACCCATTTTGAGTCCTGCATAACATAAAGCCACACACAAACACACACACACACACACACACACACACACCACTACAAATTACACTACTAGAACTTAACTAACACTCCTATTATCACTAATCACACACACAATCCACACTCTCATGTACTTGTGTCAACCCAAATAATCTCAGATCAATTATCAAATAATCAGTTTTAAACATTGAGCTCAGCATTAACAAAGAAACACATAGAGAAAAAAATAAAATGAGAAGTTAAAGAAGGAGAAATGGCTGAGATTTATTAGATCGCATGCAGGTAAGTCCATTTCCATATTTTACAGGGAAAAAAACATCAAGAAACCAATAAGAACAAGCATAGAGCAGAAAGGAAATACATGCAAAAGCAGGCTGACCAATTACAAACTGGTTCAGCCTTTAACTGAAAATTGAGGGTTTACTATTGTAATTTTGCATTATTGACACACTATTTTCCTATTTAATGCTGTAAAGTTGCTTTTGACACAATCTGTATTGTTAAAAGCACTATATAAATAAAGGTGACTTGACTTGACTGATCATTAAGCCAAAAATAACTATGTTCGGAATAGCATACTACAATACTACTCTTATTATTTATTACAACAGGGAAACAATGCATTTCCATTACCAGTGTTCCAGTGTGAACTGGAACTAATATAAACTTTGATTTATAACTTTTTTGTTTTGAACAAAAATTGGAGTAAAAATACTACATTTTTATTTCTAAAATAATAGATGGTCAGCATTCACCTAATTAAACATGCAACATGATGAGATCATGCATAAACATTGTTGCACGCTACTGTTTGAAACATTTAGCAAATGCAGAATAATTCACAGTTCTGTTTCACATAATATTAAAGGGTCATGAAACACTAAACTATGTTTTCTGAGATTTTAACAAGAGTTGTTATATCATAGAAGACAATGTTAGCATCCGTTAATTTTTTAATTATAGAAGAAATCTGGTTAAGCTTTTGGCGCTATTTTCATCTTAATCATGTTTTTGCTTTGTAAAACTTTCTGCATCACATAAATTCTCTTCCATAAATCCAAATCATTTTCATAACAATCAAAGGATGTGTGTGTATTTAATGTACAAAACCATGTTCAATATATCTGATGCATGAAACCATGTATAATATATATATATATATATATATATATACAAAACCATGTATAATATATTTGTTTATTTGCATGTTTTTTTGGGAAACGTGATGCATTTAACTTAATGAAAGTTAACATGACTAAATCAGAAGCTAGATCCGTTGTGTTGTCTGTCTCCCCTCTTCTTCCTTTACTCTACAGCTTAACACAACCAGTTTTGTACCATTTTTCAGAACTGTGGAGAGAACTAATGGATGTTGAAATAACGTGCAACAGTTCGAGAAGTACAAAACTAATTTTCTCCCTATAGGGGAATTTTTAAGTCAAATTTTTTTTTATTTTTATGACTTACAAACCTTAAAGACAGACCTGTTGTGAGCTCTGAAGTTTTTAATTGATGGTATATGCTTTTGTTGAAGCCACAGGCCACATTATTTCAACATATTTTTAAAATAACCAAATTTAACAGCAGAATTTGTAGTGAGAAACTATATTTCCCATGATGCTGTTCAGAAAATCCCACCAATCACCGCACCAGAAAAGTGCTCTGGAGGGAACGCCCACTCCCATGTAGCACGCAAATGATGTAATTACATCTCCAAACACTCTAAAATACTTTATATATTTATATGTGTGTGTGTATATATATATACACACATATATATATATATATATATACATACATATTGTATGCATCTATCTATCTATCTATCTATAGATTTTATTATGTCGCTTCATTAAGTTTTTTCCTTCAATAAAAAAAGTTACTGTCTCGTATATTTGTATTTTTGTCTGCTTTTATCATACTTCTGTAATGTAGTTGATAGCTGGTTGGCTTGGTTCATGGTTTATAATGCTTTAATAAAGACTTTTTTTTTTCTTTAAATAATCCCTATGGGAAAATTAATGGAACAAATACCTCTGGAACCAATGCCACTGAAAAAGTGGGTGTGCACTAATGCACTTTATAGGGTGGTTTCATGACCCTTTAAAAACAGTAAGCAGTAAGCCAGTATTCCATTCCAAGCAGATCATGTCAACGAAAGAGCAGCAATATATTTGTGTCCAAGTACACCCTCAATTTTTGGTCAGCAGACAGGATGTACTGCAATTCTCAAATCTAGTGTTAAGGCAGGCTGTGAAAACAAGGTTATAGTATAAAAGGGAGACGGCAGGGCACAAATAGCATGAATATGAAACGATTACACCATAATTAACTGTGCTGATTGATGTGATTAAAATATACATTGAAAAAGCAAAGTAAAAAGCACTGGTCAAGCAAAGGAAATGTACAGAAATAACGAAAGCTGTAAAGTATGACTGACAAAATCTGTACAGTATGACTGATCCTGTGGGGGAAGTCACATGATTTGGTGCCATATCCTCTCTTTGTAGCGCCAGCACACAAGCATGGCTGTCAGAAAGACAAGCAGCAAAGCCAATGTGACTGGAGTCAGGGGTGTCTTCTCCCCGCCCTCTTTCTTATTTACCTGCCCCTTCTCTGCCAAGCTCCGTTCCAGGTCGGCAATCCGTGCCTGACAGCCAATCAGCTCCGTCTGCAGCTGCTCCCGTGTCTGACGGACAGAGCACAGAGCCAATCAAAGAGCCAGCCTAGGGCATATGTACGAATAAACAATCTATATTGGCTTCTTTTGAATTTCAAAAGAATTTCAAATGACAAATGTTTGAAATTTTGGTAGCTTTTTTCTTTTTTTGAGGCAGGAATTTTCAGCCATGCTTGCTACAATGCTGGCTGTGATCAACAGATGAGTGGTATTTCAGTGTGGGTAAAGGAGATTCTGAAAAGGTCTTGGAATTCAATTCATTTAAATTGTATTTAAACACCTGCACGATTTGATTCAGATCTAAAAATGATCACAAAAAAAAAAACAATAATAATGGTAAGACAAGGATCTTTCAGAATGTCCAGTGTTGGTGGGGTTAAACATGCGTCTGTGGAGTTGGCGTCATGGGCCCTCACCCTGCAGTGTCTCTCAGGGTCCAGAGGCCCCGTAGTCTCCTGCAGCAGTGCGTACGCTCGCTGCAGTGCCTGGTACTCTCGCGTCAGCTGCCGAAATCGAAACTCTGCCTCCTCTCGGGAAAAGCCCTGACGAATAACAAATGCAATTCCGTTTGTCACATTTGTTCATGAGAATGCTGGCCAAGTAATTCCCAGCTGTTAATGTAAAATATGAAATCATTTGACGAGACATATGCTCACCCTCAAGTTGTTCTAAACCTGTAGGGCCTTCTTTCTTCTGGTGAACACAAAAGATTATAGTTTGAAGAATTTTGGTAACCAAAGAGTTTTGGGGGAGGTGGTGTGGAGTTTATACAGCACCAAGAAAGTCATACAGGTTTGGACCGACAACAAGAGGGTGAGAAAATGATGTCAGAATTTTCGGTAACACTTTATTTTGATGGTCCCTTTTTGAGCATTCAGATGACTATAAGTAACTTTGCACCTACATGTCAACTAACTCTCATTAGAATATTATTTGACTGTCTGCTTAATATCTGCTAACTCTTTATTGTGATGGTGTCCCAACAGACATTCTACTGACTATAAGTAACTTTGCAAGTACATGTCAACTTATTCTAACCCTAAACCTACCAGTCTACTAATACTCTACTAACACTCTAATGAGAGGTAGTAGATATGTAGGTGCAATATTACTTATAGTCAACAGAATGTGTTAAAGGGACCATCAAAATAAAGTGAAACCGAATTGTCATTTATAGGTGAACCATTATAAGGAAAAAGCTAGTTGAGTTGTGTTTTTGATTTTCAGGAACTACTTAGACAAGTTTGTCTGATTAATATTTCGGTTATTATTGTGCTATCTATTTTTTTGGTTATGATTTTGCTTGCCTGCAGTGGGAAAATATTTTTGTAGACAAATTTTGATTTTTTGGGTGAACTACCCCTTTAAGACCAAGCACTGAATCAGGTAGTACTGGGATGCATGATTTCAGATTGTTCAAACACATCTGGTTTTCCAGAAGATTTACACAGAAATTTCTTCTGCTTGTGTATCATAAAGGCCCATTATATTTAATACAATTAAAGTGCATTCCTGTAAAAGTGTCTGTAATTATCATTATCATGAATCACATCGTTTCACAATAAACATTGTCAAGTCAAGTCACCATTATTTATATAGCGCTTTTGTGTTGTGTCAAAGCAGCTTTACAGTATTAAACAGGGAAATAGTGTGTCGAAATAGTGTGCCGTTCTCCTCTGGCCAGATGAGACCAGCAGTTTAATTCTATGCTGCACCAAAGTCAGATTGTGCAGAGGATTGTATCATAATACACACTGTTTCAAAGCAGCATTACAGGAAATCATGATGTTATTGTTTATAATGTTTTAATACATTAATTATAGTCAAATTTAGCACATAAAATAGATTACATTTTCTATGTGTTTTATATTTAAGATGCGCTTTAAATATCGCATGCGATTAATCGTGCAGCCCTAGTTTACATGAGCACACTGTATATATACAGATAAAGCTGGATATAATACATACCCGACTTTATACAGCTGTGCGATAATACAGTTTACATTGTGCAACAATAAAATGGTTGTTGTAAACAAACAACTGTTTACAGTTAGTAACAGTTTCAATCAGTAATCTAAAATCAAACTTAAAACAAATCAATAATTATGACATTTTTAGCGAAGAAAATCTTATTTAATGTACAGCATATTCGAGGGAGCTGAGAACACTATGAACACATTGTTATGGGATCGTCTTCATGGTGCAGTTAATGACTCGATTATAATCCCACTCCTCGTTAACTAGCTCTGGCTATCAGTAAACAACATGAAGGTAGGGGGCCACTTGTGAACAAGAGAACTGCTGAGACGCCTCATCATGGTCCCTTGAGCACAACATCTGACCAAATAACAAGCCTAATTCAAATGAATGCTCTGAATTAAACAAACACTGTAGTTTGACACCATGTTTACACTCTCCCAGGCTGCCAAATTTATGAAATGAATATGCAGACTACAGTTTTAAACTGTCAGAAGATCATCGAAATGTAAGGGTGGTGTTAATGATTGCCATGGTACTGCTATGTGGCTGCGAAGTTGTTTTCGCTGTATTGCTATGTGGTTGCTCAGAATTCAATTTAAGTACTCGTAATAAAATTTTCATGGACAGTAAGTAAGTAGCTGTACTGGGATTTAATAAGCTAAATTATTTGATGTATTATCCATGCCAAACGTGCAGAGCAAGTTACACATACTAGCAAATCACACTAAAAAACGGGGTGAAAATTTTTTTTTTTTATTAAAATCTTCTCAGGAACTTTGATGGACAGCACAGGAAAATATGATTTAAGAGACAGAAGTAAACAGGATTAAGATTCTAACTGGTGCATTTGGTTTGGATGTGCACTACCATTCAAAAGCATAGGGTCAGTAATTTTTTATTTACTGTCATTTTTAAAGAATGTAATGTGTCATTGCTGAATAAAAGCATTAATTTCTTTCTTAAAAAAAAAAAAATCAGTAAAGGCATTTACAGTATAATGTTACAAAAGATTTCCATTTCAAATAAAAGCTGTTCTTTTGAACTTTTTTATTTATCAAAGAATCCTGAAAAAGTGCATCACGGTTTCCACAAAATTATTAAGAAGCACACCTGTTTTCAACATCGATAATAATAAGAAATGTGTCTTGAGCCAAACATTAGCATATAAGAATTATTTCTAAAGGATCATGTGACACAGAAAACAGTAATTGCTGCTAAAAATTCAGTTCTGCCCTCACAAGAATAAATTACATTATAAAACACAAAACGGGTATTTTAAATTGTAATAATATTTTACTGTTTTTACTGCATTTTTTATCAAGTAAATGCAGCCTTTGTGAGTATAAGAGAGGAAAAAAAATCTTACTGACCCCAAACTTTTGAACGGAGGTGTAGTTGAGCTGCAAGAGTGTTTAGTGCAGGTATTAAGGTTTGTAAAATAATTTATTACATGACATACATCTTCAAGATCCTCTTCAGGGGTGGTAGGGGTGTGATCTGTGCGGTCGGTGTTATATGATGTCAGAGATGACGTTTCAGAATCGACAGATTCTTCGTCAAATCCAAAATATGTCTCCACAACATGCCTCTGAAAAAGAAAGAAACCAGTGCTTAAATATTATACACATATTCACATTAAACTAGTGTAATAAAATCACTTACTAACCTAACTAATGTCCAATTTGACTTTCAGACAATATCCGCAAGTAGCCTATACCAAAAATGAACATGCTGTAACTATCTGCACAGTACAATTTGCCGCTCCTCTCTTTTGTTTACACAGATAAAAATCCACCCACAGGAATTATGATGGTAATGCATGACCAGAAGTTCACCTTCCCAGTAACAGCAGTGCCACGGAAAAATTAATGCGAGTGATTTAACAAAAATATGACCCTGACCGTTTCTGCTTTTAAACCTTTTGGAATGTCTTACATTAAGTGCATTACTCTAAATGTTCATTTTTACCAAACCAGGGAGTCAACGTTATTGTCATTACTACCCACATATGCTGTGAACACAGTGTGACTTGTTTCTATATCCAGAATAATCATTAAAAAAAAAATGCAAATTTTCATGGACCATACAGTATGCAACTGACACCCAGATGTCCTTTGAATACACTACGCAATCGCTCTTACCATCGTGTTTGTAGGTCATCTCCTGACAGCCAGAGAAATACAGACACACCAGAGCACACAGACACAGGAACATGGAGAGATACAGCACCAGCAGGAAGTACTCTGGCATACTGGATGTTTATATGTGCTCCTCAGTCCAGTGTCATGGTATGCGGTAAATCCTTTTAACCTCTTTAACCAGCATCATCTTCCTCAGTGTTCACAGGAAATGAGAGTTACAAATGGGTTTTAAAGCCTGTGTTACAGTAATGTCTCCACTGACTCCACCTCCATAGCAACGGTTCTTGAGAACGAACAACTAAACCCCACCCCACAGCACCACAAACACACACAGGTTTACTTAATTAAAATAAGAATGTGCAGTACTATATACAGTATAAAGCTAATCACAAAAAGCTTATATATTAATTATTTCATATACTAGTGACCCACACTCAAACATTTTTAGAATAAAATAAAACATTATTTCATGTATTTAGTAGTATTTATTTTTTTAATTCATGACATCCTCAAATGTTCCCAAAGGGGGGTTTTGTCAGATTTAGCTAACAAAAAATGAATAATTTTGTATTCAAAGTACAGTGAAGTAAACCCAAACACACGCAAACTCTGAACGACCATGGGACAGTTAAATCACAGCTGCGTTAACAGACTTTTGTGTTGTGAAAATAGGGTCTTTAGTTGTTTAGATGACTGGCTTAACCTTTCTAGGCAAAAAACAGAAATCAAAGACTGTTTAAGTGATGTTTAGCTGGTGAAAGCATGAGAAAGTAAAAAGAACTTGGCTTGACTCAGAGGTCTCGAGAGGCCAATTAATGTGCCAATGTAACCAGCACACACATGAAGAAACACACACACACACACACTCCTCAGAGGAGACAGTTGCTTAGTGACAATGTCCATATGCTTTAACAAAAAGAGAAAGTAACCAGAGCAAAACTTCCATCAAAGAGACTCCAAATATGGTTCAATATAATTCTATGAATGAGAGGATCAGCTCACCCTGGGCAACTTGATGTTTTTTCGCCTGTTCTTTTTGTTGATTATCAGCCTGTCCCGTTCCTGAAAGCACATCCAGACATCACATTAAATAAGTTGTTAACAATACAATACAAAAACATACAACTTAGAATCTTCATTCAGCAGAACATTTAAAGAGTGAGTTTCTTTCCACATTGAATCAAGTATGAGTGTTACAGTCCAACAAGTTTACACTATTGTGCAAAAGCTTTTTTTAAGTCTCTTATGCTCATCAAGGCTGCATTTACTTGATGAAAAATATGGTAAAAACAGTAATATTGAGAAATATTATTACAATATAAATAGCTGTTTTAACATATTTTAAAATGTAATTTATTTCTGTGATGGCAAAGCAGAATTTTCAGCAGCCATTACTCTTCAGTGTCACATGATCCTTCAGAATTCATTCTAATATGCGGATTTGTTACTCAAGAAACATTTATTATTGTCAGTGATGAAACCATTGTACTGCTTGTTTTTTGGAAAAAGTCATTTTTATTTATTTTTTTGCTGTCACTTTTTTGTCGATTTAATGCACTCTTGCTGAATAAAGGTATTTAAAAAAACTTTTGAATATCTTTTCAAAAAATGTAATAATAGTGTATGTAAACATTGTCACATGCAATACTGCTGTATTGCTGGCAATACTGTAATATCAGCGTGCATATTAACAGAAGTCACTAGGGAGGGGAAGAGAAAATGAGAGTGACGCAGTAATTCATTTCTAATTAGGCTTTGCCTTAATGAAGTAAACAAACTAATTAACAGACACAGCACTGATTACAATCACAAATAATTACAGGGTGAGACCAATTAGAGAATAAGCACACACAGTACACACACACTGACACAAACACAGATACACAGATTATAAGCTAAAAACCAGGCAAGGACACAGAATATGTATCTGTAACTAGATTTAAAGATAACATGAAATCAAAATGGACAATCTTTACTTTTTAAAATGAATTTCCTGGTTTTATTGTGTGCTTATCATTGAAATGTTAATTTTCATAACCTGTAACCAAAATGTAATATCTTCTGAAACTTTCTTATTTGCTGATGTAACCAAAGCTGTGTGGGTGGGGTAAAAACACTCACCTATTAATGGTTTTTCAGAAATTACCTTTCATGTAGTGTGTAATATAGCAGTTTGTGGATGTAAAAGGTCTGCAAAGGGCATGACAAATTATATTTTATTCCCAAATTAAAGAACTGATTCTGAACTGCCTGAAACCAGTCCTCAGTAATTCCAGTCTTATTTCCTGCACAAACCAATGTAGGTTTGTAACAAATCTGCATAATGGTCTTAGAAGACACTATTTTCTGCTCTCGACTGCTTCTCAAATCAAAATAAGCAAAACACTTATTCTTTAAAGATGGAGCTGTACACACTTTATTTTGACCATCTCGTGCCTCTGGAACACAGCCTGTAAGTATGATTTATTATTTATGCATATATTTTCTTAGTGTTCAAAATGCATAGTTTTGTGTGCACTGCTGTAACCCTCTGCCAACTCACACTTTTCTCTTGAATTTCTTCTGCTCTGAAATTCTAATTGCAAATATCAACATGTGTATTTATGGCTGACAGAAACAAACAAACCTGCGTGAGCTCATCAATAACACCACGCTGCTCGCTGATTTGCAAGCGCAGATACTCGACTTCCTGTTGCTCGTGGGCGTGACTCAGGTCCGTTAGAGAGGTGTGTCTCTTCAGCCCACCCGGCTGCAAGTTCTGCTGAGATTTCTCTTTCTGAGGAAACACAGTGACAAAGATGTACTCTATAAACATTGTGTGTTTAAGTACAAATGTAACAAATGTTAAACGTTCATTAAATGAAATCTGAATAAAAATGTTTATCAAAATGTAACAAATCTGAAACGAATGTTGTTTTCTGATGATGTGACAATAGCTGAGCCAATCAGACCCTGATCATTAAAACCATGTCCTGTCCAACATTATTTCCCATAATTTTCAGTTTTCCCTTAACAGCACACCTGTTCTGCGTTCTCTCTGCTGAGTGTCTTCAGTTTGTCCTCCATGCGCTGTAGAGTCTGCTGCAGCTCTTCATTCTTTTTATTCAGCCGTTTATTCCTTTCCATGAGAGGCTTTATCTCTGCATCTGTTTCTCGCACTCGTTTCAGCTGTATGACAGAGAGAGAGAGACTGATCTACATACAGAATGAAAGACACCTGTACTAAAGTCCAATTGGGATTTCCATCATAATTTGGAAGCTATAAAGGATCCTACTGTGTGAGAATTATCTTACAGATTTTTACAACACAAAATACAAATCTTTTGAGAACTAACTGTGTAATCATTAATTGCTAGGAAGAATTAACAGAGGAGAAAATGCAGGTTAAAGGGGTGGTTCACTGGCTTGTTTCTAGGCTTGGTTGTGATTATGGGGTGCAGTCTAACATGTGTTAATGCTTTGTTTTTTTTTTTTAAACTCATTATTTTTCACATAATTTACCTTTATTCCACACCGCTCTGTCCCTTCTCTGAGAAACGGGCTGATCTTTTCCTGTTTTATGAAGCCCCGCCCTCAGAAATAGGCGATGTGCTCTGATTGGTTAGCTAGCCCAGTGTGTTGTGATTGGCTAAACCGTCTCTAGTGCGCGTCTAATCGTCCCGCCCCTCACCTCAGCAGCATGTGCTGTTGTATTGTAAACAATGGCGTCGTTAATATCACTTATCAGTTTGAGCCCGATTGAGAAGCAGAGGATATTATTGAAGAAAATTGTGCAGAACCTGTGCAAGCACAGCTTTTAATGGTAGGCCTATGTTTTTTTGTTTGTTGTTGTCTCATACTTTTAGATACGCTGTTATTTGTAAATTCTACTTCTTAAGTTAGCTTTTAATATACGATTTTGTCCTGATTAAAGCTTTAATACAGTACGGGAACTGCACGCGCATCCATGTATAACGCTTCTCATAGCTATGTGAAAATAAGTGTATAATTG